TATATGTCGTACCTAGTAGCCAGAACGCACTTCTCAGCCTACTATGCAAGGCCCGATTTGCCTAATAAGCCAAGTTTTCATGAATTAATTGCTTTTCGACTACTTAACCTACCTAACCTAACTTTTTCGGCTACCTAACCTAACCTATGAAGATAGGTTAGGTTAGGTTAGGTTCGGTCATATATCTACGTTAATTTTAACTCCAATAAAAAAAAAATTGACCTTACATAATGAAAAGGGTTGCTTTATCATTTCATAAGAAAAAAATTAGAGAAAATATATTAATTCATGAAAACTTGGCTTATTAGGCAAATCGGGCCTATATATATATATATATATATATATATATATATATATATATATATATATATATATATATATATATATATATACACCATCAGAAAAGACACCAAGAAGTGTGTTAATGTTTAAAAAATTTGAGTATATCGAAAAAAAATTGCCATATTCTCCCTAATTAAACAAACAATTAGTTTATTTTGAGCACAAATGATATGAGTTTTTGTTTTTTCCATGGAACATTTAATTGTTTTTTTCTACTTTTGACTCTGAAAGCAGCAAAATGGCTTCTGTCCCCAGTACTCCAGCACATCTGTGAGGCGATTATTTAAGATTTATAGATTCAAAGCCATTTTAATTGTATGCTCTGGGCGAGAAATGCAACATAAAGGCATTGTGACCAGACATGCTGCACCACTGTATTACAACAGAATTTTCTCGACAATATAAATAGCTCATACAAATAATTTTTAAAGAAAAACAAACGCACGCGCACTCGCGGCCGAGAGGACTGCGTTGTGGCTCGTAGTAAGAGACACCTGCTACAGGCTGCTTCCTGCATGTGTGTGTGTGAGTGAGTGAGTGAGAGAGAGATATGTAGTAGATACGACAGGTTGGGAGTCATTCCATTAAACAACCGACGGCTAGAAAGGCAAGGGTCCAAGAGCTACCACCTCGATCCTGCAGGCACAAATAGTACACACACACACACACACACACACACACACACACACACACACACACACACACTTACTCAAATGTGTGTGTAAGTTTTCCCTGACGAAAGGGGAACTATAAGGAGATGAAGTTTCCTAAGGAAAATACCGTGGGACACAGAACTCAGAGCTAAGTCTGTACAAGATATGCTGGACTATATCACCAAAAAGTGTCAGGAGGCAGTAAACAGGTTCATCCTGGCCCAAAGGGAAAAATCCGAGAAGCAAAAGAAGAATCCATGGTTTAATAGGGCATGTATGGAAGCAAAGGGACTGAACAAACAAAGGGTTTATTTTCTTGGAATCTTCATTCCATAACATGCTATTTATTCACATTCAATCAATCCACACATTGAACACACACACACACACACACACACACACACACACACACACACACACACACACACACACACACACACACACAGAAAGCAAAGAAACTGAACAAAAGGGCGTGGAGGAACTTCCGAGACAACAGAACACCAGAAAGCAGAGGGAGATACCAGAGATCCAGGAATGAGTATGTTACAGCGAGAAGAGAAGCAGAGAAAAAATATGAAAATGATATAACAAAGCTAAGACCGAACCAAAGCTACTCCATAGTCTCATCAGGAGGAAAACAGTGAAAGAACAGGTAATGAAACTTAGAACAGGCAAGGACAGATATACAGAGAATGACAGAGGTGTGTGAAGAACTCAACAAGAGGTTCCAGGAGGTCTTCACAATAGAACAAGGTGAGGTCACTGTGCTAGGAGAAAGGGAAGTAAACCAGGCGGCCTTGGAAGGGTTCGAAATTACGAGACAGAAGGTCAAGAGACACATGATGGATCTGGATGTTAGAAAGGCTGTTGGCTCAGACGGGATCTCACCATGGGTACTGAAAGAGTGTGCAGAGGCACTTTGCTTGCCACTTTCCATAGTATACAGTAGGTCACTGGAGACGGGAGACCTACCAGAAATATGGAAGACAGCGAATGTGGTCCCAATATACAAAAAGGGCGACAGGCAAGAGGCACTGAACTACAGGCCAGTATCCTTGACTTGTATACCATGCAAGGTGATGGAGAAGATCGTAAGAAAAAAACTAGTAACACATCTGGAGAGAAGGGACTTCGTGACAAATCGCCAACATGGGTTTAGGGGGAGGGGGGTAAATCTTGCCTGACTGGCTTAATAGAATTCTACCACCAGGTGACAGATTAAGCAAGAAAGAGAAGGCTTGGCGGACTGCATTTTCTTGGATTGTCGGAAAGCCTTTGACACAGTACCGCATAAGAGGCTGGTACATAAGCTGGAGAGACAGGCAGGTGTAGCTGGTAAGGTGCTCCAGTGCATAAGGGAGTACCTAAGCAATAGGAAGCAGAGAGTTACGGTGAGGGGTGAGACCTCAGATTGGCGTGAAGTCACTAGTGGAGTCCCACAGGGCTCTGTACTCGGTCCTATCTTGTTTCTGATACATGTAAATGAACTCCCGGAGGGTATAGATTCATTTCTCTCATTGTTTGCTGACGATGCCAAAATTATGAGGAGGATTAAGACAGAGGAGGACAGCTTGAGGCTTCAAGAAGACCTAGACAAGCTGAAGGAATGTTCGAACAAATGGTTGTTAGAGTTTAACCCAAGCAAATGTAATGTAATGAAGATAGGTGTACGGAGAAGGAGGCCAGACACTAGGTATCATCTTGGAGATGAAATCCTTCATGAGTCAGAGAGAGAAGACTTGGGGGACATCAGAGAAGACATCACGCCAGACCTGTCCCGTGCAGCTCATATCAAAAGGATAACATCAGCGGCATATGCCAGGCTGGTCCACATAAGAACGGCATTTAGAAACTTGTGTAAGGAATCATTCAGAACTTTGTATACCACACATGTCAGGCCAATCCTGGAGTATGCAGCCCCAGCATGGAGTCCATATCTAGTCAAGGATAAGACTAAACTGGAAAAGGTTCAAAGGTTTGCCACCAGACTATACCCGAGCTGAGAGGTATGAGCTACGAGGAGAGACTACGGGAATTAAACCTCACTGCGCTGGAAGACAGAAGAGTTAGGGGGGACATGATCACCACATTCAAGATTCTCAAGGGAATTGATAGGGTAGATAAAGACATTCTATTTAACACAAGGGGCACACGCACAAGGGGACACAGGTAGAAACTGAGTGCCCAAATGAGCCACAGAGATATTAGAAAGAACTTTTTTAGTGTCAGAGTGGTTGACAAATGGAATGCATTAGGAAGTGATGTGGTGGAGGCTGACTCCATACACAGTTTCAAGTATAAATATGATAGAGCCCAATAGGCTCAGGAACCTGTACACCTGTTGAGAGGTGGGACCAAAGAGCCAGAGCTCAGCCCCCGCAAGCACACTTAGGTGAGTACAATTAGGTGGTGTTCACACACACACACACTCTTAAGTTCCTAGTGAATGATGAATTATATCCTAGGTGAATGATATCTTCTGAATATACATTTAGCTTATTATTATTATAGATCAGATGTCATGGTTTTCGAAGCGATACCGATATCATTTCCCTAAATCATTCAATTATATCATTATCACAAGAGAGGAAGATTAATGGGGAGTTTTAGGTAATATAAAACCAACGAATACATGAGTGCTAGAGGCCTTCTGGCTCACACGAGGCGACTCTCACACTTTGTAACGGAGAAGTATAAACTCGAGGAGAAATTTTTCTAAGCCTCTCTGACTACTCTATTTAGCGTAACATTTCGCGTCACAGATGTTCCTGTTAGGAAACTAAGAGGAAACTGTTGTGTGTGTCCGGCCCGTAACAGCTGTCTATCTCTCGGGTACCTATTTATTGCTAGGTGAACAGGTGAATGAGTGAAAGAAACTCTGCCCATTTGTTTCCGCCTTCACCGGGAATCGAACCCAGAGCCTTAGGACTACGAACCCCGAGCGCTGCTCACCCAGCCTTCAGGGTCCTATCCCCCGAGAGACTACATATAAAAAATCTTGGACTCATTTTCCGGTACGATTTCAGTCAGCGGCTGAATGAAGAGAGACGGATATGGAATTTGGTCCGCAAAGCCGATAATCTGTGTGTATGGCATTGGTTTTTCCCACCTGGTGGGTGTGGTACGTTGTAGTACACCCAGTCTGGACTCCCTTCCCACCTGGTGGGTGTGGTACGTTGTAGTACACCCAGTCTGGACTCCCTTCCCACCTGGTGAGGGTGGTACGTTGTAGTACACCCAGTCTGGACTCCCTTCCCACCTGGTGGGTGTGGTACGTTGTTGTACATCCAGTCTGGACTCCCTTACCACCTGGTGGGTGTGGTACGTTGTAGTACACCCAGTCTGGACTCCCTTCCCACCTGGTGGGTGTAATTCGTTGTTGTACACCCAGCCTGGACTCCCTTCCCACCTGGTGGGTGTAATACGTTGTTGTACACCCAGTCTGGACTCCCTTCCCACCTGGTGGGTGTGGTACGTTGTTGTACATCCAGTCTGGACTCCCTACCTACTCAGCCGTGAGTGGACGGTCCTGGTGTCTGTGCTCGTGAGGAATAGACCTGCCATGTGGGGATGGCTGTGGAAAGCCCCAATTGTCAAGAGTAAAGTTATCGCACGATGACCATTCTGTGTCCCACTGTGTGGTTGGCTGGGACGAGTTACAGAATTTACATAAAAGATTGCCCAGGGAGGTCGACCATCTGGTGAGTTAGTGTGTGTGGTGTTTGTGTGTGTGTGTGTTTCCAGCCGAAGGCGTCCATAGGTCAGATAAGGGAACAACTCTCAAGTCAGTTCCCATGATTGAGGCCGCGAGTAGTTAAGAATCCCGGATTTTAGAACACACGTAATCTACAAATAGGCCTACGAGATTAAAGGAATCTTGCCTTTCATTCTAGTCATGGGTGTCGTACTAAGACAGTGTGGGTGTCTACTGCCTGATGGTCAGTAAACCTTAGACCTCGACACGTAAAGTTAACTCTATGATGATCGTATTCCGTTATAACAAACGTATGTCCGGAATCACGTCCATAACTATTCTGTAATCTAGTTATTAGCGGGTTTAGTCTGAAACACCGAGGTATAGAAACTGTGATCCAGTCAACCATTGTGATTCAGCGATATCTACGTTATCTGTAAATACAAGCGAGGGGAAATCGTTACAGCGACAGTGATAGCGCCGCCGCGTATTGTTTCAGAGTTTCACCGTGACACTTGAACTGTGGGGAAGGTGATTGTATCCCGTGTGCTGTTTTATTGTGTCAGCCGCCACGCAACCCTCGTGTTGCCTGTCACAGCCCCGGCCTCCACCAACCCTCGTGTTGCCTGTCACAGCCCCGGCCTCCACCAACCCTCGTGTTGCCTGTCACAGCCCCGGCCTCCACCAACCCTCGTGTTGCCTGTCACAGCCCCGGCCTCCACCAACCCTCGTGTTGCCTGTCACAGCCCCGGCCTCCACCAACCCTCGTGTTGCCTGTCACAGCCCCGGCCTCCACCAACCCTCGTGTTGCCTGTCACAGCCCCGGCCTCCACCAACCCTCGTGTTGCCTGTCACAGCCCCGGCCTCCACCAACCCTCGTGTTGCCTGTCACAGCCCCGGCCTCCACCAACCCTCGTGTTGCCTGTCACAGCCCCGGCCTCCACCAACCCTCGTGTTGCCTGTCACAGCCCCGGCCTCCACCAACCCTCGTGTTGCCTGTCACAGCCCCGGCCTCCACCAACCCTCGTGTTGCCTGTCACAGCCCCGGCCTCCACCAACCCTCGTGTTGCCTGTCACAGCCCCGGCCTCCACCAACCCTCGTGTTGCCTGTCACAGCCCCGGCCTCCACCAACCCTCGTGTTGCCTGTCACAGCCCCGGCCTCCACCAACCCTCGTGTTGCCTGTCACAGCCCCGGCCTCCACCGACCCTCGTGTTGCCTGTCACAGCCCCGGCCTCCACCAACCCTCGTGTTGCCTGTCACAGCCCCGGCCTCCACCAACCCTCGTGTTGCCTGTCACAGCCCCGGCCTCCACCAACCCTCGACATCACCACCAAGTGAGTAGCCACCAGCTGGTGTGTGTGTGTGTGTGTGTGTGTGTGTGTGTGTGTTCACCTAGTTGTACTCACCTAGTTGTGCTTGCGGGGGTTGAGCTCTGGCTCTTTGGTCCCGCCTCTCAACCGTCAATCAACAGGTGTACAGATTCCTGAGCCTATTGGGCTCTATCATATCTACACTTGAAACTGTGTATGGAGTCAGCCTCCACCACATCAATTCCTAATGCATTCCATTTGTCAACCACTCTGACACTAAAAAAGTTCTTTCTAATATCTCTGTGGCTCATTTTGGCGCTCAGTTTCCACCTGTGTCCCCTTGTGCGTGTTCCCCTTGTGTTAAATAGCCTGTCTTTATCTACCCTATATGTGTGTGTGTGTGTGTGTGTGTGTGTTCACCTAGTTGTGCTTGCAGGGATTGAGCTCTTCTCTTTCGGCCTGCCTCTCAACTGTCAATCAGTCAACTATTACTACTAATTTTTTTCCACGCACATGCGCACACACAGGCGCCTGTGACAGCTGTCTAACTCCCAGGTTCCTATTTACTGCTAGGTAACAGGGCCATCGGGGTGAAAGAAACTGCCTATTTTGTTTATTGCCATCACCTGGAATCGAACCCGGACCCTAAGATTACGAATCCAGAGCGCTGTCAACTCAGCTATCAGGCTCGTGTGTGTGTAATTCCCTAAGTGTAGTTACAGGATGAGAGCTACGCTCGTGGTGTCCCGTCCTCCCAGCACTCTTTGTCATATAACGCTTTGAAATTATTGACGGTTTTGGCCACCACCACCTTCTCGCCTAACTTGTTCCAACCGTCTCCCACTCTGTTTACAAAAGTGAATTTTCGTATATTTCTCTGGCAGCTTTGTTTCGTTAGTTTAAATCAATGACCTCTTGTTCTAGAAGTTCCGGGTCTCAGGAAATCTTCCCTATCAATTTTATCGATTCCTGTTACTATTTTGAATGTAGTGATCATATCGCCTCTTTTTCTTCTCTCTTCTAGTTTTTGCATATTTAATGCCTCTGACATCTCCTCGTAGCTCTTGTCCTTCAGTTCTGGGAGCCACTTAGTGGCATGTCGTTGCCCCTTTTCCAGTTTGTTGATGTGCTTCTTAAGATATAGACACCATACAACCGCTGCATATTCCAGCTTTGGTCTCACAAAAGTCGTGAACAATTTCTTTAGTATTTCTCCATCCATATATTTAAGAGCAATTCTGAGGCTAGAAAGTGTATCATAGGCTCCTCGCACAAATGTTCTTAATGTGGTCCTCGGGTGACAGTTTTCTATCTAGAACCACCCCTAGATCCCTGTCTTTGTCTGAATTTTTTAAAGATTTCTCACCTAATTTCTAGGTTGTGTGGGGTCTATGTTCTCCAATTCCACAACATAGTATTTATTCACATTAAATTCCATTTGCCAAGTATTGCTCCATATACTTATTTGTCCAGGTCTTCTTGAAGGGCATGACAATCATCTAGGTTTCTTATCTTCCCTATTATCTTAGCATCATCAGCAAACATGTTCATGTGTGCGCGTGCGTGCGCGCGTGTGAGAGAGACTCAAATGGTGGTGCATTTGTCTTGTGTGTGTCATTACACATGCCACATATTTAACCACCCATATGATGCTGTTGTTGACTGCCCCATTGACTGATGTTTGTGTGATCATTTGGGCATGACATTTGCCTGTCCTACTGACAATGCCATTTGATTTACTGTATGTGATCAATCGGATGTTCAGGTGATCACATGAACAGCTGTGTCCAGTTTTTCCTACCGGCAGATATTAGGAAATAGAGATAATGAATGGTTTATCTCACAAGTGTTAATGTTTTGTCCTTAAGGGAATCATCATTGATTAGTCACATTGTTATGATCGAGTAGTTCAATGTGTCTGATGCGATTTAGCTTTGCCAAAACCAGTCTAAATAAATCAAACACCTTGAGTATTAGCAAGTAATTTACTGAATAAACTTTAGTTAATTATTACTCGTATTTTCATGAAAACTTTTCATAAAAATATTGCTACTTGCACTAGTTTCTACATCACTTACGATTGATTCCGATGTCTTCAACACAATTATAGACATATTTTCAGGAAATTAATCAATTTTGACGAGTCCTATTAAATTCCTATTTTTTGTGTTGACGGGATTGTCCCGACCGTAGTGGGTCTTCCCAGCGAACACCTGACAAAGGTCCAGGGACGACAAAGGTGTCCAATTTCACCAGTGTACCCAGGTGGAGTAACCATTGCTCTGGTAGTTTATTTTATTTATTATTTATTTATATATATACAAGAAGGTACATTGGGTTTGTGAGAATAGTACAGTAGTACAGTAATTACAACTACATATAGTTGCTGGATCTTGATAGCTTATAGTGAGCCGTCTGCAAATTTGAGACGTTGCTTGTAGAAGCGGTCAGTAAAATGTAATAACCTTCACTGTGTTCTAACAAATAGCTTGAGTAGTGATAAAGGTTTATTCGTGGCAAGAACCACAGCGTAATGTTGAGACTGGCTCACGGGAGTTAAATTTATACAGAAAGATTTTTCAAGGAATTGTCAGCCGTCGAATCATTCACAATGCAAGAGTCTGCTGAATTTTCAATCTTGAATTCAGTGAACGTCTGCGGTGAGTCAATTATATATTCCACCATTTGTCTCGCTTAATGGCTGGACAATACAATATGAATGGAATAGGAAAGTTGGACAATACGTTTGTATCTCATTCCTCACGGAAGACGAGAGATCTTGAATAAGTTTGAACAATATTCAGTCCCTTTTTCAAGCCGTATTGTCAGATTATCCTCGACGCCAACTTAATGACAAATGCTTGAACTTTATCCATAATATCAATCACGATAAAGTATTGGCAATGAAACTAGTTATTTAGTATTGAAATGGACAAAGATGTCGATATGGAAAGCCAGCTTCAGATGCCATTCTTTATCAGAGTTTCTCGAAGAAAACCACTGAATGTTCGGTCAGCTCAAGACCGGAGGGTCCCGTGTTCGATTCCACTAGGGAAAGTGGGTGGAGACGTTTAGGCACGTTTCCTTAGACCTGATGCACCTTACACCCAGATGACAGGAACATTCTATGGACTGGTTGGTAGGGTCTGCTTTTGGTCTAATTAGGTAAACAAATGACGAGAATTTGTTCACCTAATAATAAGTATTCCGGATATAGCAGATTCTTGTGGGTTGCATCCTGCAGGAGGGGTCAGTTGTTAAGAGCCTCGGTAAGCTAAAAAGGGAAGACGGCTCGTGCATTGTGATGCGAAAAATTCGAATCTAATGACATTATCTCTTTGAGAGACTGTGGAGGCCGTGTGGAGCAGCAGCGAGCAGTGACCTGAAGTGTCTTTACCACTCTAACATTATGAGGGATTCCAGTGAACTACTGCGGATGTGTGTTAAATGCTTATTCAACTCAATCCACCAACTGCATCTACCCTTCATCCCACCAGCTGCCTCCACCCCTTCATCCCACCAGTGGCCTCCACCCCTTCATCCCACCAGTGGCCTCCACCCCTTCATCCCACCAGCTGCCTCCACCCCCTCATCCCACCAGTTGCCTCCACCCCCTCATCCCACCAGTTGCCTCCACCCCCTCATCCCACCAGTTGCCTCCACCCCCTCATCCCACCAGTTGCCTCCACCCCCTCATCCCACCAGTTGCCTCCACCCCCTCATCCCACCAGTTGCCTCCACCCCCTCATCCCACCAGCTGCCTCCACCCCCTCATCCCACCAGCTGCCTCCACCCCCTCGTCCCACCAGCTGCCTCTACCCCCTCATCCCACCAGTTGCCTCCACCCCCTCATCCCACCAGCTGCCTCCACCCCCTCATCCCACCAGCTGCCTCCACCCCCTCATCCCACCAGCTGCCTCTACCCCCTCATCCCACCAGCTGCATCTACCCCTCATCCCACCAGCTGCCTCCACCCCCTCATCCCACCAGCTGCCTCCACCCTCCCGTCCCACCAGCTGCCTCTACCCTCTCATCCCACCAGCTGCCTCCACCCCCTCATCCCACCAGCTGCCTCCACCCCCTCATCCCACCAGCTG